CATGGGTGACCCTCGTGGTATTTAAAATACCAGTGGCATAAGCTTTCAGAATCACAGCTACTCACAAGCCACCACAGTATGACAAACTGACAGACGAGTGGTGGTTGACAAGGTAATTGGCTAAAAAAGAGAAAAGATACCAAATTCAGGGATCTAAAAGGGATACTGGAATCCTGGTGTGGCACTGTAGGATAATCACAGGACTGCAAGGTTGGTTTGAACCACAAGGTAGATGGTTCAAACTCCCAAGCTTTAGAATCCCTATACTGGTTCACTATGAGTCAAAACTGATTTGATGGCACTTAACAACAACAAAGGGGTATCTAGGGCCAGTATTTATTATAAAGATAATACCCCCCATGATGTGATTCACTGTAGTTGTGTGATTCTGTGTTATTTCCAAGTGAATAGTTTGAGTGGTATTTATGAATCTTATGAGGCAGTAGTTGTATGGCCATTTAGTATTTGTTAGTCAGTTAACAAACACTTACGGATCGGCTATTTATAGTAGACAAGGCATTAGGTCCAACTCACTCGTGCTCTGTTCACTCTGCAACACTAGGTCTCAATGTTAGTGAAAGTATACTACTGTATCATACCCAGAAAGGCTTACGTAGCTGTATAATTTTCATAAGCCTCTATTTGTTTCTCTAGTGTATGGTTAAAAGTTTTAATACACTTGATTATTTTGTTTGGAATATTTGATTTTTACAATCTGTGAATTTAAAATTTGCTAGAATTTTAGGATTGAAATTTATCCAGTTTGAACTGGACATGTTCTTTAAGTAGTTTCTTTTTACTAAATTATTAGTGTAGTCTAAGCTGAAAGGCTTTTTTTTCTCCCTCCCAAAATATTTAGAAATCTGTTTTTCTATGTGAATCCTAGGATGAATATATTTTAATTTTTCATAACTTATTTATATCTGTAAGTCATAAAGTAGACAAAAACTGCCAATGGTATATAGGAGTATGTTTCTGAAGAGATAAATTTATTATTTTTATTTGTTAATGCTGCTAGAACCATTTCCTTTGTGTTGTTGTTTGTACCTTTCTAAGATTTGAACTTGTGGTGGTACTTTGTTGTTGGTGTTAAGTGCCCTCGCGTCAGTTCCAACTCACAGCGACTCTTTGTAGGGTTTCTGAGGAGCAGCTGGTGGGTTTGAACTGCTGACCTGGTGGTTTGAAGTCCAGTGCTGATTGTACAGCACCAGAATTTGTACCTTTCTACGAGTTGAACTTGTGGTATTTTACTAGCACTGAATTTAAAACACTATTCAGAGAAAAGGAATTTTTTTTTTTTTTTTTTGGAGTTTTTGTTTTGTCTTTAATACTTAGAATTCTGTGGTTATTTGTGTTGATTTTAGACTTTTGATCTAACAGTAAATTGCAGATTAAGTTAATACATTTATTGAATGGCATGTGGATGGATTGCATTGAGTGTATTTTTGCTTAATGAGCCCTATTTTTATTTTTGAAATCACTTAATGAGATTTACTTTTATTTATTTTTTTTTTATGATTGTTTAACAGCACTATCCCAGGCATACAGAAAATTTGGATACGAACATGGGGTTGTTCCCATAATAATTCAGATGGAGAATATATGGCTGGACAGCTAGCTGCTTATGGATATAAAATTACAGGTAATGAAATATGTCATGTATTGAATTGATTACATTTTTCACGGTTAGCTTTGTTAGGTATATACATTCTGGCTTCAGTAATTATACTTTAGCATAACTTAACAATTTTAAAGGCAAAATAAAATAATGCATGGCTTAGAGAAATAGAAATAACAAACTTTAAGAAAGTTAAAAACCCTTTTTACTTTCAATTAAGTTTAGACTTAAAGAGAAGTAAAGTAGTAAAAATAGTGCAGAATTCCTGTGTACCCTTTACCCGTTTTTCCTAATGTCAACATCTTACATGAGCATAGTAAAATGAATAAACCAGGAAACAATTTGCAGACTTTATTTGGATCACAGTAGTTTCCCCACAAATGTCCTTTATCTATTCTGGGATCCAATCTAGGATTCCATGTTATTTTTAGTTGTCATGTCTTCTTCATTTCCTGCACCCTATGATAGTACCTCAGTTTTTCCCTTGTCTTTGATGATCGTGATCCTTTTGAAGAAAGCTTTTGAGTTGTTTTGTGGAGTGACCCACAGTTTGGATTTGTCTGGTGTTTTATTCCACTGGGAATGAGGTTATGTATGCACTTTGGGCAGGAAGAACCACAGTAATAATAGTATGTCCTCCTCAGTACACCATCTTGGGAGTTCATGAGGTCAGTCTCTTTACTGTTGGCACACTAACTTTGTTGGCCAGGTTTCTTCCTAGTAAAGTTACTTTTTTTTTTCTTCATTGTAACTAAGAGATATCCCATTTCTCTCAACCTTTTCGTATTACTTTTACTATCTTGTCAGTGGATTTTGTCTCTGATAGTTGTTGCTGTCATGTTTGCTTAATAGTTATTTTCTATTTTTTTCGTGGCACTGTGGGTTAATGCACTGGACTGTAAGGTCAGTTTGAACCACAAAGCAGGTGGTTCAAACTTCCAGCTGCTCCTTGGAAACCCGGTACAGGGTCTCTATGAGTCAGAACCAATTCGATGACACTTAACAACAACAACTTTTAATTGTTGAAATTTGTCTGTAAGGAAACACTGCCCTTACTCCTCCATTTTGCTAATTTTTAAATTTTTATTTAAGTATGAACTCATGGATATTAATTTAATTATATGGGTTATAATCTAGTACCATCATTATTTCTTTTTGTTGTTCAAAGTGCCCCACTTTTGGCTTTTAGGAACTCATTCAAGTTGTTTTCTGTATATTTTTAACATGTTTCTATCCTTCTTGAGGACTTTAAAATTTTTCTGGCATCCCAAGATGTTCTAGGCTTATACCATATTTTCCCTGCCTTGGAAGCTTCTGCTTTTCTAAGGAGCCTTGACTCCTTTCATTAGCAGGTGATGATTAGAAACAGATGTGGACACTGCTGGTGCTCATTGCCAGTGTGAGGTGTCAGAACTTTCAGGCAGACACGCACATTTTTGCCTACTTTGTATCTGTGTGTGTGTGTGTGCCTATACAAAGGGAGGGAGCTCTGGTAGCGTAGTGGTTGCAAATTGGGCTGCTAACCTCAAGGTCAGCAGTTTGAAACTGTCAGCTATTCTGCAGGAGAAAGATGAGGCTTTCTGTTCCCCTAAAAATATACAGCCTCAGAAACCCTGTGCAGGGTCGCTGTGAGTCAGAACTGACTCCGCAGCACAAAGCCACCACCAGTACCATATACAAAGGGGTTTTAGAAAGGTTGAGGAAAAATGCCATTAACATATAATAGGATAGGACTCAACTCTATATCTATGACCTGATGGTCACCCCGTACACTCTGCAAATGATCAGAGTATCTGATCTTCACTGTAATTACAGACACACAGGAGAGGGCTTCAAAAAGTTAGTCAGAAAGTGGAATAAAAAGATAGTGTAATAGTCTATGAACAATTTGAAACTCCTTGTATCTCTATAAAAGCTATCATAATTGGAATACTTTGTGACGGTTACTGAAACAATGATTTACATGTGCTCTGTGTGGTGTGAGAAGATGCTGATTTCCATAGTTGACAGGTGAGGAAGGAGAGTTGTGTCTTACCTTGAATCAACTGTTCCCCACCCCAGCTTTTAGCTCTTGACCAGGATGCTGTTACTTCACGGTAGCATTTGGATGTGTATTTGGCACATTTCTAGCTACAAGATTGCATGTAAGGACCAAGTAGGAATGGAAACAGATTCCTTTCATATTGTTGTTTCTCTTAGTAACTAAAAGGTCACGTCATTAATTTTGTGATTTTGATTGGTTTTAGATGGCAACTAACAACAACATTCTTTATATAGCAAAATCTCTCTTAATGCTTGTTTCTTTTAGGTTAAAACATGTGCTTTCAGAATTCTCTGTATTAGTTAGTAATTTTCAGTCTGAACTTGCCTTAATATATTGTTATGGTTCAGTTTGAGATTTCAGAATGTAACCTTTTAAAACAAGTTTCTAAAACAGTAAAAAATTAATTAAAAGCTTGACTTTTTCTAGATGGTATTTAATTTCTAACACATTTAATTTTAATTTTACTACATGAGCAGTTTGTGTTTAGACTTTTAAGAGTTCTTTTATAGAAATTAACAGGCATACTCTTTTCGTACATGAACATTACGTTTTGTTATATATACATACCTAACTCTGGTGTCTTAATTGAGACTAGTATAGAGGGGAGCTCGAGGGAATTGGCCACTAAAAAATACATTTTTCTTATTAATGCAGTGTTTTACTTTTTTATACTAAAGTATTTTTATTATGTTTACATTCTGTTAATTGTCTCCATTTTAGCAATTCAGATGCAGTTTTTAATTCTAGACTGGCTTGCGTACAGTAGACTGTCGGACCTGTTCCTTATTTGTCTAAGTGCACCAGACTTGGGAAATATCAACAGTATTAGCTTCTGTAAAATATTTAGTAAGCATGTCTGCAAAAGCCTTACATTTAGGTTAGATACCTGATATGAATGCTTACTGGATTACCCTGTGAATAGTTTTGTTACTTTGGAATAGTGGGAGCCAATTAAAATTCTTAATATTGCTTAGTAATTTATCATCATAATATTATTTACATGCATCATAATATGTAATGATTATAATATGAAGAGACTTCAAGAAGTTGGTGGAAAAATTTGTTATCATTTACATTTTTAAAAAAAGATTTTTTAACGTCTTTCCAAGAACTTTCTGAAGCCACCTTATATAATCAAATGTGGAACAGAAATATTTTCATGTAAATGCATATTTGCTATAAAATAGGTTGCTGTAGCTTTTTTTTTTTTTTTTTTTTAAAATTGAACTTCAGGTGAAAGTTTACATAGCAAATTAGTTTTCCAATCAATAGTTAGTACACAGATTGTTCCGGTACATTGATTGCAGTCCTCAAAATTTGTCAGCACTCTCCCTTTTTCCTCCCTGGACTCCCTGTTTCTAGTCATCTAGTTTCTTGTTCCTTCCTGCCTTCTTTTCTTTAGTTTTCAATAAATGTTGCCTTCTTGCTGTCATGTACTTGACTCTTTTAGGGAGCACATTCTTCCTGCGTTTTATTGTTTATTGTATGTTGTTGTTGTTGTTAAGTCCTGTCAAGCTGGTTCTGACTCATAGTGACCCTATATAGGGTTTCTGAGGAGCGACTGGTGAGATTGAATTCCGACCTTGTGGTCCAGTTTTTATCCTACAGCACTGAAGGACTCTGTGTTGATTGTATGTTGTTGTTGTTGTTGTTAAGTACCGTTGATTCAGTTCCAACTCACAGCAACCCTGTATAGGGTTTCTAAGGAATGACTGGTGAGTTTGAACTGCTGACCTTGTGGTTCAAACCAACCTTGTGGTCCAGTGCTTATCCTACAACGCCACAATAGGACTCCTGATTATATAAGCCTTCTTATTTTTTAAATTTAGCTTTTGTTCTATATTAATTTACCCCTTCTAATTGTTTATGCAAATTCAAATTAAAGCTGAAGAAAATGAAAACAAATCTAAGAGAGCCAAAATATGATC